CAAGGTCTGGTGCAGCCTGGGGGATCCACCAGGAGGGAACCTCCCTGCGTTCGGAGCTGAGGTGTAGGAAGGGATGGATCCACCACTACTGCTGTCCATAACAGCACTGAGGCACTTCAGCCTGCCTAAACCAAGCCTTTTTTGCCCCAAAGAAATGGTAACTTGTGTGAATGACTTGTCAGCTGGGCTTGGGGAACACCCTGTACCTGCTCTGAATGCCCTGCCAGCTGCTGCCAGGGCTTCAGTCAATGTGAGCATCCCTTGCCATTCAGGATGCTCTGAGGAGTTTCAAAGGACAAAATGCAGCTTATTTGATGTTCTGCCTGGTTTTCTAGTTGGTCAAAGTCCTTTTGTCCTGTTCTGTCCTGGGTATTGGAGGTACTCTTGTTATTTTCTCTCCTTTATTAATGTCATGAGATTTGTGTGCCTTGTTGGAAAGGCTGTAGGTTGTGGAGCGAGGGGTGGTTTTCCTTTTTTTCCTTTTGTAGACTGAAACCAAACCAGCAGATAGTGGTTTCAAGGCCTGCTCTTTGCTTTAGTTAGTGCTGTAGGTACAGTTCCCCGTGCTGTATGATCCCATTGTTCTCAAATCAAGGAGCCAAAGGCAGTAGTTCAGGAAATGTATCAATTAACTCTATTCAGGATGTTTAACATCCAAGCTCATCCATATGTTCATCTTTTATGTGACTCTTAAAACAGACTGTGATGCTAAGAAAAGGAAAAGGTGAGGCAAGGCTTGTGTATCCAAGCAACTGCAGAGCCCCCACTGTTGCCATGGGAGGTTTTATCGTTGACACAGGGGTTGAAATTGTCCTTTTCTTACAGCTGAAGGTTGTAGTGGGGAGAAGGGGTTTTCTAGACAGAGCCTGTTCCTGCAGAGAGTCAGCAAGGAACAGTCTGGAGCAGTCACACACACAGACACACACAAAGGGCTGATCTGAGTGAGAGTGACAGGACTCGGTTATTTCCAAAATATAAATACGAGACCCTCTTGAGGCTCTGCTTTTGGACTGGTTGGTCCTATCACAATCAGGCCACAGATAACAAAGGCAGCATTTGTCCTGGATTCATCTGCTCTCTCCCAATTAATCTAATACAGCAGGAATATTTGCTGTGTCTTACCAAGCAGACTCATAAAAGCAAATCCTCAAACACGTGTACTTAATTAATGATTTTCTTCTTCAGTACACACACAAAAAGGGATGCATTGTGGGTACCATCTGATGCTGAACACTGCATTAATAGATATTGCTGAACACATGCATGAACATGGCACTTACATGTGGCATATGGCTTGTGACAGGCAGGATTCTCTTTTAGCATTACAGAGGGATGAATCGGTCTGGACGAGACCTGCATTTGGGGTTTGAAAGATGGCCAAGGAAAAAGAACAAATTCCTTGCATAATATTTGATCAGAGAATAAATTTTAAATAAAAATCTGGGGTTACACGGCTCTCTCACTTCTAGAGTAAAATGTTTCAGTATGTTCCAAAGAGCAGATGCCCAACAAACATCTTTGTGCAGGAAAAGGAAACATTTCCTTAAACATCCTGCAGCAAACGTGACTGATTGAGCTTCCTTTTCCCCCTGCCTGTTGCATTTCCCTTCTTTGCACAGACAGGATCTAACCAGATCTGCAGGGTATGAACTGCAGGTTACTTTCAGATTCATAACTCTGAAATGGTTCGTTTAGCAGGACAAAGGCCAAGCCCACAGACACCCCTTTTCCAGCTCAGCATGTGCATAGCAATGGGAGGGTGGCAAGGAGCTTTTGTTAATCTCAACCCAGCTGGCAAGAATGCTGCAAAATGAAGGCTTTGAAGATGTTTTTTTCTTCATTTTTAAAGCTACAGTTTGTTAGAAAAGCTTGAAATTCTTGCAAAAAAATAATCTGCAAAATATTGAAAATCCTCCCTGGCAATCAAGTAACTTAGGCAAATTTCTCCACTAGCAATCAGTCTGCACAGTTTCCTTTAGCAGGCATTATTTTTGCAGGTTCTGTTCTACTGCATCGGTGAAAATGTTTTTCCCCAGCTTGAATACACTTTTCAAAAAAAATAAGTGGTTGGCAGAAAGGATTAGGGTATTGGTCAGGCTGGGGCTGATCCAAGCAGCAGCAGCAGGATTTTTTTTCCTTTTAGTTTAAACGTGTAGGAATTGAAAGCTTAAAAAGCTTCATGCTTAGAGCTGTTCTGAAAATAGCTGGGGCTCACACTCCACTTCCTAATGTGCTCACATCACAAGACCAGCTGCTGCTCCTTGCTGTCTTTTGTCTGGAGCTGCAGTGCAGAGCTGAGATGCTGCCCTGCCCTGGAGGGAGCAGTCCGTCCTTCTCCCCCACAGGTGGCCCAGGCTCCCCTCAAAGGCAGCCCAGGGAAAGGCTGCCCTTTGGGCACCAATATCACACCCCATCTTCCTGAGCCAGACAATCCAGTGCCTTCCACAAAAAACCAGCAACCCTGCTCAGGGATTGGTTTATATGTTTTTATTTTTATGAGAAAACATAAATACAAAATAAAAATAGTAAACAAGTGCTATAGACTTTTCATTGGGGTGAGGTTCAGGCCTGATCCTGAGCAGTTCCAAGCTTTTAAGTTCAGATCTAGGTCTTTGCTCTTAGAAAACAAATCATAGGGAAAACCAGCTGATTTTTACCCCGAGCCAGTGATGTAACAGTAACATCTGGGTTATCTTGTAAAGCACAGCAACAACTAAGAAGGACGAGATTAAATATAAAAACATGTTTAAAGATGGGCCCCACTTCCTGCAAGTGTTGTTGGGCACTGCCCCACTGACCTCACAAAACCTTGTTACACAGCAGCGAGTTGTTTTGGCAGGGTGACGCTGTGCCTGGCGCCACATGCACAGGTAGCACTGGCTTCTTCCCAGAGCTTGTGTGTAACTGGTTCAGATTTGGGTTCTAAGAGGACCCAGCTCTGCCATGACACAAAGCCACGCATCAAGAAGTTTGGCTTGTTGAAGAAAATCCCCTTCGAAGGTGTGGGTTTCCCTCCCTCTACCAAAGACACCAGTTTTGATCTGATTTGAAATTCCAGTGCTGCACTGTCCAGAAAGATCTGATCTTCTAGACAGACCCCAAATTCTGCAGCACTTCTGAAGGCTCTACTCTCCAGAGACATGCAGACATGTCTGTCAGTGGGGTTCATTCTTTAACTGGAGACCCAAGAGTGAGGTCCAGGACCTGGGCTAATATCTGCTAGACATCAGAGAGCTCTGAGCGAGGGTGCAGTGTGTCTGGGGGCTGGGTGACAAATACAGTTGGACCTTAGCATTTAAAGTAAAAACAAAGGACTCATGAAACAAATGAAGGCACCAAGCCACATAGCAAGCCAACTTTGGTAGATTTCTTGCAAAATATATGCATTTAAATACATTTTTACAAGGTTTACAAGGTTACACTGTTTAAAAAAGTTGCAATGATGAAATATGGATTATTTCATTCTTGTACCAAAACTACATATCACATCATAACAAAAATATTACAGCTTTTATTTAAATGCAGACAGCTCTGCTTTTGTATTCTCTGATGGGCTCAGACCCTGCTATTTATGTGTTTAAAAACTGAAAGCAGTTATCTTGAAAAGGGCAAATCGTGCTCGATATTCAACATCACAATTTGCAGGGGCAAGGCTTTAGTCTCTCATTCTGGTCTGTGAACATGTTTTAAGTTTGCTAAGCAAGGCAGGAACACAGTCCATGTAAATCTGTTGCAGCCCCACAGTTATGGTTAGTCCACAAGTCTTGGAGATATCAGAAGGATAAGAGTTAATGCTCAGGTCAGGTGTGCACTGTACTGCTACAGGACTGTGAGGTTGTAGTGTTGTGTTCTGAGGAACATAAACAGCACATTTCCTCGCTGACTCTTGGCAGAAATCTCCTCATGGCAATGCAGATGCTGCCACGGGCGGTGGCAGGATCCTGTGTTGATGTGTGGAGGAGTCTCACACATCCCCCTAACCCCTCCCTTGAGAAAACCTTTGTCTCTGCAGCGTAAAATGGAAAAGAGTAAGCTGGTATTCCAGGCTGTGGTGAATTTCAGCAGCTGTTGAGCTCAGAAAATTAGGAGTAATGTTGCCCAATGCATCTTCCTTCCAGTCTGCACAGCGTTACCAGGCAATGCACAGGAGCGGAGAGCTGGGAGAGCCAGCACTTCACATCTCCTGACCAGCTGACAAAGTCTCAGTCAAGGTATTTTTGGTAAAATTCTTCTAGCAATTTTTTGCTTGATTTGGTAAATGCAGGAAAGCACGTGTTAACAAAATCATGGTGGGGAGCCAACCGAGTGCACGTCCAACTGAGCACACAATTCAGAATTGGCAGCAAGCGGGGCTTGGCAGGAAGGCCACAAAAGCATCATCCCCCCCAACCATCAGTATCTGGGGCAACTTTTATGCTTCCAATCTCCTGTAGTGCAGATGAGAGGAACAGAGGCCCTGCTCGAGCCAGGACATACAGTGATCTCCCAGAGCTCTGATTCTGGGCCTCGGATAATTCTGGCAATGAGTTCATATTCAAGTAAAAACAGAGCATAAGCTGATGGAGGAGAGGGGATGAAGAACCTCAAGGGCAACCTGGTGTAATCTGCTTTGTACTCCACTAAAGGACAGCAACTACCTGAAAGCTCTTTCCAGGTCTCAAAGACACACAGACCAATGTACTGCTCTGAGGGACTGAAACAAATGAAGAAAGTCAAATACCCTTCTCCAAACAGCCTATGTGATTAAGGATCAGGGTTAGTGACAAGCTTTGGACAGGATCCCTAGTTTAGTTGCCCAAACAGAAGATCAAACCCCCCCTACTCGGTTGAAGTCCCGCCGGGAACTGCCAGGCTTTCAGGAGGGAGAACGCCGATGGGAACACCCGACACCGGTCCCGGCAGCCGAGAGGCACAGGCAGCGAGAGCGGGGGGTGAAATACTCACGAGTGTGGGGCATCGCCGGGGCAGGGCCGGGAGCGGGAGCCGCACGGGGGGTCCCGGTGATGCCCCCGCGGCTCCCCGGGCCGCTCGGCTCCCCCGGCCGGGGACGCGCTGCCCGCAGCGGAGCGGCCGGACCCGCCGGGCGCTGCCCTGCCCGGGGCCGCCGCTTCACGGGGGTCCCCGTCGGGAAGAGCCTCCAGGCAGGGGAGCGCTGGCGCTGCCGGCCGTGTGTCCGTGCCCCGCGGGGCCGGGAGCGGGCCGGCCCCGCTCAGACGTAGTTCTTCTTGTCGTACTCGCCGTTGGACGTGGGCCGCCGCGGCGCCGAGTACTTGACGGGGAAGGAGGTCTCATCGCGCTGGGAGCAAGAGCAGCAGCAGATGAGGCAGCCCCCGAAGAGCAGCAGCGCCGTGGCCGCCCAGCCGATGTAGAGCGCGGCCCCCATCTCCCGCTTCTTCGACGGCGGCACGGTGGGGTCGTAGAAGTCGCTGATGACGATGTTGGCGAACCAGCAGAGCGGGACGAGCACCAGGACCCCGCAGAGGATGTAGATGGCTCCGCCGGCGATCACGATGCGGGACTTCATCTTGCCGGGCCGGATGCAGTTGGTGCACTGCGCGCCCACCACGGTCACCATCAGTGCCACCAGCCCCAGCAGCGCCACGACCACGGTGAGCGCCCGGCCCGCCTGCACCTCGGCCGGCAGCGCCAGGATGGAGTCGTACACCTTGCACTGCATCTGCCCCGTGCTCTGCACCACGCAGTTCATCCACAGCCCTTCCCAGATGGTCTGCGCCACCACGATGTTCACGTCGATGAAGGCCGACACCTGCCACATGGGCAGCCCGCAGGCCAGGATCACCCCCACCCAGCCCAGGATGCCCAGCCCCAGCCCCAAAATCTCCAGCGCCGCCGAAGTCATGCTGCTTGCTGCCAGGGCTGTGCCGGGGCTCGGCAGGACGGACGGGAGCGGCTGCGCTGCACTCCTCGGGCGCTGCAGAGCCGGCTCTGAGCGCCGCGGCCGCGGGCAGCGCTATTTGAGGGGCCGCGGGGCGCCCGCCCTCCGCCCCCGGCCCTGCCCTGCCCTGCCCTGCCCTGCCCTGCCGGCAGCACCGCCCGCCTCGGGGCACTCCCGGGGCCGGGGGGGCTGCGGAGCTCCCTCCTGCTCGGGGGGTCCCGCCGCAGCCGGGAACTCGTCCCTCTGCTCGCCCCGGCCCCTGCTCCGGCAGGAGCTCGCAGCGACGCTGCCCGCGTGGGGCTGCAGGCATCCCTTCACGGAGTTCATCTGCTCGAATTCCTTTCAGTGCCGTTATCTGCGTGTTTCCTATTTACTGATAAAGTCCGCAGCCAGACCTTCGGAGAGGTCTTGCCCCAGCGCAGGCACCCAGCAGGGTGGAAGTCCTGGTTATCAGAGTCTAATTGATCATTTCCCAGAACAGCGAGTGTACTGACTGACCTGCACAGCTTTCTCCTGCACGCTGTGACAGGCAAAAGTTGAAAAAGCATCACCAAACAGATTTCACAGATTATTCTGAGTTAGAAGGGACCCACAAGGATCATCGAGTCCAACTCTGAAGTGAATAGCCCATACAGGGATTGAACCCACAACCATGATACTATCATAGGTCTGTACTGGCAGACAGACAAGCCCCACTAAATTCTGACAGAAAAAATACCTTCAAAATACATTTCTTAACTAATTAGTCTCATATTCTCTACTTAAGTGAGGCTTAGATAAATAAAATACTGTGGCATTTGCCTACATGTTTGCTGATATTTCTAATGTTGCTCTTCCAGAATAAAATATTCACTTACAGTGCTTAGGAACCACCCTGAAAATGGAAGAGCTTTGAATATGGGATCTGCATGTCAACTGTCAGTACCTGCAGACAGAGTCTCAGTTTGGTCCCTGAAGAATAATTGCTCTTAGCTTACACCAGGTGTGAAACTGGGTTTTTTTTCTAATATTGGAGCCAAGAGCAAAGCTTTTTGTGGATTTAGTTTCAGTTAGCCCAAGGTATCCTTCTGGGGTAGAGGAGATTGCAGAGTTTGCAAATAACACATTTCCTGCCCCTACAGAAGTGGTTTTCCCTGTTGCACAGTAACTTACAGCATGTACTGTGGTATGCAGAGGTTTGTGATGGAAATCTTGAGACTGATGTGAGAGCAGCATGAATGGAAAAGTCTGCATGCGAAGCAGGAGCAGCAGAAGAAAGGATAAGCCAAGGTTCCAGGAGTCACATGGAGTGCCAGCTGAGGATGTGAGTGCTGAGGTGACACGGAGCCGTGCCCTGAGCACATCCTGAGTGGTGACTCTTCTGCAGAAGACCCTGGCACAGTAACAGGGGGATGACAACGAGGTCACAGTACACTGCCTGTGGCCTTTCACTTCTCTTTTTTTCCCAACCAGAAGACAAACTTTCAGCCACAAGACACCCAAAGAAAGGAAACAAAAGAACCATCAGCAGCTTTGTGGACTGTGGTGTAGGACATGCAGAACCATGACAACTGCAGCCTTCCATTGATTATCTCTGCATGAGGAGCTGTAAACATTTCTAGCATGGAAAATGTCTTCCTAACAAAGACTGCCTGGCAAACGGAGTTCAGAGGATTTATCTCCTCTTCCAGCTGTATATGAAATACATACAGTTTACTGCAATTATTCAAAACTGCAAATTCCAGTGTGCAAGTCCAGGAGGAATGTGTGACTGGGGCTGTGCAGTCTGTCAAACTGAGGCTGCTTACAATCACTCAGAAGAGTCCCTGGTGTCAGGGAGGGGAGAATGTGCAAAAGAAGCATCCACAGAGATGTCTCAGAGGTGAACAGGAAGAAACCCAGAGCACAGACTGAAACGGAATAACATCTGTATTTATGATGATAATCATGATTATGTAGAAAACGGCAGAGAAGAACAATTAAGAAAGGGGTGAGAAATGCCAGTTATCCTAGCCCACAAGCACAGGAAAGCCCCACCCTTGCCACTTGCCCAGAGCACGGAACTCGGAGTTTCCTCCGATAAATGGTCTGTGCCGGCTGGGAGGCACCGACGGGGCCGGTGCAGCTGCCCGGCCTTGGGGCTGAGAAGGGAAACTGCTGCAAGGCTTGTTCTACCTCTGCAGCCCTCACCCCACCTTTCCTTGCTACCTGTAACCCAGCAACTGATTCCTACAAATCACTTAATCCAAGGCAATTATTTCTCTGGGGAAATGCATGCCTAATAATCACACGGCAACTGGACCTTTCTGCTTACAGGCATTTCCAGTGCTGGCATTTCACCTTTGTCTGTTTGTTCCTTTTCCTTACCCCAGATATTAGCTTTTATCCTGGTTACTGGCAAGAGCCTCCATTTTAATTACTCTGTTCCCTGGTCCCAAAGGTCTGTTGCACAGACTACCTCGAATGAGACCATGAGTGCAAGGGGCTCACAGGTCTGCTCACCTGACTTACTGGTACCTGCCTGGCACAGCTGCTGGGGGCCTGAGGACCCCATCAGCTTCAGCACATCGTGCTGTCTGATGGGGGTTACTGTCACAACACTGAAAATTAAACTCTCAGAAATGAAGGGGTCTGTTTCTTAAAAGGAAACACACATCAGCATGATGTTTTACTTGGGATGTTGAGTAAAGAAAATAGCTGCTTGTAAGTTAAATCCTTGCTGCAAAAGTCTGGATTCCTTGAAACTCCAAAGCACAATGTTCTTGCAGCAAAGGAACTCTAACAAATGACCATTCATGTAATTCCATCTATTTCTGCTCGAGCTATGTATTAATTACATTATTCTGGGGGGATGCTGAGGGGGCTTTACAGCCCGTGCAAATGGGCGGAAGCGGCATTCAAGCTGAGAACAATTGCACAGGAGCCATGCTACAGCAAGAGGGGCTTGGGGATTAGAGGTGATTGTGTTTTTGCTCTTTTCCTGACATAATCAGGACAAATATGAGGCACAGAGTTACTGGGAGGGCTGCTAAGGGGGGTCCAGGCTGTCCCCAGCATTGCTTGTGCTGGGGCATGAACCCTGTGCCATGGACAGAAGGGCTGTGCCCAGCCCTCCAGGTTTGCCAGGGCTGTGCCCAGCTCTCCAGGCTCCCCAGGGCTGTGCTCAGCCCTCCAGGTTTGCCAGGGCTGTGCCCAGCTCTCCAGGTTTGCCAGGGCTGTGCTCAGCCCTCCAGGCTCCCCAGGGCTGTGCCCAGCCCCAAGGCATCCCCCCAGCAGTGCTGGGATAGATTTGCCTTTGGGCATGACATGCAGTCTGCAGAGCACACCTGGTTTATAACTTCTGGAGTGTGCCTTACCCAAGTGTTTCTGCTCTTTCTCATCCCTAAAATATTAAACATCTAGAAGACAGAGAGGAAAATGACATTGAGGATCAATCTTATGCACAAACCTAGTATTGTTTGTGTGAACAAGATGGAGTACGAGTCAAAGGATTAATTGAAAGCCCAGTGATCTCGAGACAGCTTACCATAACTTTTGGATCAGACACAAGCAAAGGTGAAGAATTAGGAATCCTATTAGAGATTGATTTTGTGCCATATTTTGTATTCTAATTAGTGCTGAAATAAAGGCAAGGAGATTTACAAATACAGAGTGGTTAGGCAAGGGCTGTTCTTTATTTAGAAAGCTTGAGGTTTCTCAGTGAAGATTACTCCTTTCTGAATTATCCTTTAAAGTCTAACTCTTTTCCCAAGAGAATAGATTTATTTGGAGTTTGAGTGCACATTCCACAGTAAGATAGGGCTCCAGGAAGTTCTTGCATGTCAGCAGTGCCAATGTGTCTTCAGGCCAGTGTTACACATCAGAAGACTGGCACACAGGAATGAGTCCTTGTCAAATGAGCAGGTTATTACAAAATGAAAGCGCACAATTTCACCACAGGACTTATTCAGAGATCATTTATTTTGGAAACAAGCAGAAGTGGTTAACATGAAATTGTTACTTCCTCTCTTAGATCATCTTTTGAGCAAAGAGAAACAGTGATTTAAAAGTCAGGCCAGAATTTTGCAAGAGGAACCAGTAGAGCTCACTGACTGGTGCTAATGATGAATCCAACCCTTTTTTTAGTACAAGTGTTGCTGCTGCCCTTCAGGATTGAGAAGTGGGTGCCCACGCTCTGTTCCCCCTCAGTGGTGATGTGACAAGGCTCGGGTAAAAGGAGAGAAGGAAACAGATATAGAGTTGGGAAAATAGTGAAAGAGGTGATAAACCTGCTTCCAGCCTTCATGTATTTGCTGTATATCCCTTCCCAACCAGCTGGCCCAGCCCTGTTTTACACACCCCCTGTGCCTGGAGGCAGCCAGGAGCCTGGGTCTGGCTGGGCCACGTGTGGTGGGAATCCTGAGACAGCCTGACAACACTTTCCTCACATAAGGAGGGAATTAACTGTGCTAAACCATCATCAGAACTAAGTGCCACATCTTCCTACTTGAATTCCTCTACACACAAGTGTCTTGATCAGCATTTGAAGCTTCCCAGTGTTGGCATTGATGTCCCTGTCTCTGTAAGTTATAAAAGCATGCCCTGATGGGAACGTTTCCCATCACCCTGGTCAGGACCAGCTGGGCTGCACTGGTGAGGAGCTGTGCACCCACCTCTTCAGCACCTTGTTTCCTCAGTTTAGCTTTCCAGAGAACACTGCAGTGTCACTGGACAGCCATAACTCTGTGGTAATGGTGTTCCAGGACAGCTGATATGGTGAATGAGAGCCCTTTCCCAAAGCTTAGAATGTCACATCTGCACAATGTTGGAAGGAATTAGTAAAGACATGACTGTGAATTTACTGAAACCCATTCAGGGTTAGTGATGGGAAAGGTCCTACACTGATATTGTGTCCCAGGAAATCTGCATTCCCGAGAACACCTGGGAGGTTTGGCACATCTCCTCTCATTGTGAGGGATTTCTTCTCAGCAGTGCCGTCCCTGTTCTTAACAAGACATGTC